AAAAAAAAAAAAAAGCCAAGCAGAGCCAGCCCCCGCACCTGACGGGAAAATGAGCAGTTTGTCTGCAGTCCGACTGTGGAAGGAGCAGACACTGTGGTCGCTGCTTCCCGTCCTCTAAAATAATTCTATAAATCCTCAAGGCCACTTACTTTTTGGAAAAGTAGGACCGAAAATCAAATCAACAAATATCTGTGGCTCATCCATGAGCGCCAGGTACCTTTTAAACTGAATACATCTCACTTTTCTGAGAACACCTAAATCTGTATAAATGTCTCTTTAATGTCTCGTATCTTCTCCCAGAGGAGCAAACATTGCAGAGGGAGGATTCTCAAAGCTGGCGGGCCTGGCGGGCCTGGGGCTTCCAGAGGTTCTTCTTCAAAACCTCGGGTGGAAGGAAGGTGCCGGAGAGCCTCAGCTCCCCTTGCCGGGCTGTGAGGGAGCCCAGCCCTTCTCCCTGGGGCGCCGGGGCCCCATCCCCGTCCCCTCCACGCCTGGAGCCCAGGGAGGGCGAGCGCGGTCTCTCCCGGGACGTCAGTGAAGCACCAGAGAAAGACCCAACCTCGGAGAGCCGACCGCGGCATAATCAGAAGCCTCTCAGGAGCGGACCGTCGTGCATTCCACAGATAAAAGCAATCTATTATGACAAATGCAGGCAAACTTAATTCTCCAAACACCTAAGCAGAGAGAGAGAAGAATTGTAATTTATTGGTCCTAAAAATACGCAGAGCGTTCTAGTTTATGGGTCCTGCCGGGCTTGCTTCAGCAGTTCTGGCCCCCGCGTCGTCGGCCGTGAGAGTCACTCGGGTTTTGTGTATCTACCGTGTGGGCGGGAGGGGGTGGGGCCGGCTGGTGGCGCGGGGGGAGGAGCTCAGTTCCTGGCCCCCCTGAACCCATGGTCTTCCTTTCGTCTCTGGCAGCAATGACCCCTGCACTTAGTGCAGTCGGGCCTTCCCAGCGACCTCACGGGGTCAGGGCCATTGCTCCTCCAGAGCTGCCATTTCTGGCTACCGTCTGGGCTGGTAGATAATATGTATGTAAACGCCACACAGAGAGACTAGAACAAAGACACTAGCTCCCCGTCTTTCCCCGACGCCATGCTGCATGTCCCCATCTCCGCATTTTACGGAACTAACCACACCCATCGTCAGGTCGCCCGCTGGACATCACGCTCTGCTCCGGGGACACCAAGATGGGCACCAGGCAGCTCCCGCCCTCAGAGAGCACCTCCTCTTCTAACCAGCAGGCAGGCTGCCCACGGGCACGCGGCTGACGTTTGCCACGTCGACTCTCCACGCCGGACCTCAGGCAGCACCAGCCGCGTGCCACTGGCTGAGGACTGTGTCCTTACCCTTGCCGCGAGGAGTTCTTGCCCCACATACTTATCTAAATACATTTCCCCTGAGGCCAATGAGTAAGACCAAAACCAAACCCCTGTCTTCCCTACGCTTGTTCCTTCTCCTGACTTCCCTGGTCTCCAGGCCTGGGAACTTACAGCATCTGGGACTCTTCTCTGCCCTGGACCCCGAGGCCTGAGCTGTTCCCCAGCCACTTTGACCTCGCCAAGGCCGTTCCCACACGCCGGCTTCCCCAGGCCCTCTGCTCACCACACTTAAAGATGTCACAGGTGCTCGCCACCTCCCCCTCCCTGAGCTTCCCTGTCCCTAGTCTTCCTGCTCTTTGCTTCCCTGCGGGTCCCCTGAGGCTCCAAGACATAGCTATGAACATATCACCACCCTGCTCAAAACCCTTAGTAACCCCCTGGACTTACTAATCAGTGCTAAAGAAACTGTAAAAGTTTTACCATAATCCTGCTGAAAAAACTTTTTCTTCCAGCAGGCTAATTCGAGGATTTACTCATCACAGGTCTTAATCTCTTAAAAACTTGTCAAGTAATAGATGGATCAGTTGTCAAATACTAATCCTCCCCCAGAAAGGGCCTCTAAATTATCTGGGTCACAGAGCTCTGTCCCAGAGAGGTTGGGGACATGCTTTCTTTAATAAGAATCCTACAACCACTGAGCTTCTGAGCGGGAAGGAGGCCTAGGGACGAGACTCTCAGGTCCAGAGATGGGCGATCGGGGGCGCCCAGTCACCGGCAGCTAGCTGGATGATAGCCAGGGCAGCAGCACGTTCTCAGGCCTGCACGCAGCCTCCAGCCACAACCCTGCGGGTTTTCCAGAGCAGTCAGTTCCTGGGAACTTGGCCCGGTGGTTAGGGTCCCAGGCTTGCGGGTGAGAAAAGCCAGTCTGTCAGCATACCAGCTGAGTATCACATCCACCGCAACGTCCAGCTGAGCACCATCCATCACCATGTTGGCGGGGCCAGGAGCTCCAAACTCCAACGTCCAACCACAGAAACCCTCCCCTCCTCACTCCCTGCCCCGAGCTCCTGCCAGCCACAGGGCGGAGGCCCGTTCCAAGCCTGGGGCCGGCTTCCCGGTGCGAGCAGAGAAGCCTGAGAAGGGGCACGGGACAGGCCTGGACCGGCTGGAGAGAGGGTGAGAGCGGAGAGAGGAGAGGAAGCCAGCGGGAAGTCTGTGGGTGTCAGGGCGAGGCCGCAGGGCAAGGCCCTCCTCTCCAGTCCTGTCCCTAACGGACTCCTTCAGTCAAGTGTCTAAAGAAGGGCTGACCTGCAGGTTCTCGGACGTGATGCTCACCAGCGCTCGGTTCAGCTGAATCCGACCCAGGGGCTCCTTGAACGGACTTCTGTCACACCCACTTGCCAGGCGTGTTCTGCATCCTCTCCCGTCCCCTCTCCAGCCTCGCTCCGGGGAGCTTTCTGGAAGCTACTGGGCATGCCAGTGATTTCTTCCCTGGGGGGTCACGGGGGGGGTCCCTGAGGGTTCTGGAGGCGCCCGTCCAAGGCTGTCCCATGTCCCCCTGCAGCAGGGAGGGTGGCCAGGGCAAGCCGCGGGCATGGGCGATGGGGTCAAGAACCAAGGAACAGACAAGCGTGTTCTGTGACGTTTTCTCTGGTGGGGGCAGGAGGAAGCTCACATCCAGGGGGAGGGCACCGTGGAGCTGCCATGAGTTGAAGAGCTGGTGGCCAGGCTCTGTGCCCGGCGGGTCCCTGTGCAAACACTGGCGTGTGCGGCCTCTTCCCCCAAAGCTCCGGGTCCCCGACGCTTATTACTGACACGAGGCCGCGTACGGTCTGGTGAGACTGAGAGCCCTTCAGCGCGGGGTGCTCCTGGCCTGTTCATCACGGTGTTCTCACAACGGGGTCCGCGTGGTAGGTGCTCCTTGCTGTTTGAAGGAATGAGAACATCACCTGAGTCTCACGGAGGTTCAGCAGCAGAAGAGGGGGTTCCAGCCCCTTGTGAGGCTTCTCTGGGGGCTGATGAAGCAGCGGGCACAGCCTGGCACACAGTGAGCGCTCAGGGTCAGCTGCCGTGACTACTCCTCACGCCACCTCCCTGCGCGGGGCCCGGGCAGGCCTGGAGGTCACTGAGCCCACGCTCTGGCCCCCATCAGAGGCGACGCACACACGTTTTGGGTCGAGAGCGTGTGGACCCGGCAAGGAAACAGCTTGTGTGCTTACATGTTTGGGGAACAGAAGAGCCAGCCTTCCGCGTGCAGGCAGGACCCGTCTGACGGTGGCCAGCCTCGCTCAGCCCGGAGTGGCCCCTGATCCTCCAGCTTTTGGCCCTGGTACCCCTGCCCACCAAGACAGCTCAGAGGGTACCCGAGCCCCCCTCCGGAGCTCAGCGGATCCCGGGAGGGGCACATGACCTCAGCCGCTCCCTCCCCAGTGACGTTCAAAGCCGTCAGCCGCATGACGTAGCTGGAGGCCCTGCTTGTGGCATTTCCTGTCAGCGTCAGAGGGCACGGTGCCCTTAAAAGCCTGCTTCTCCTTCTCTTGCAGTGACTGATCTACTCAGCTTTGTGCCAGGCTGTTCGCTGTCAATTAATTTCAGAGTCAGCACCGAGGCTGGTATTTAACATCGCTTTCCCGAATACACAGGGGCCTCCTGTTGCAGCCCATAAGGATGCTGCGGTGCCCGCGTCCGCTGCCCGGGCCGGCCGTGACTTCCCAGCCTCGCACGTGGGCCGAAGTGAGCCGTGGGGCCCGGGCTCCCCACTCCGTTACGCGGCTGAGTGAGGGCCCTGATGAGTAAAAGAAAAAATGCTAATGTTTTTCCAAGTCCTCGGTCCTAGGAAACAGGAAATGGTGTTGTTTGTGTAGAGATGAGGTCTAGTCGGGTCGTTCTTCAGACCACATGGAAGCCTCCCGCTCTTCTTGGACGGGGCTGCTGTGCGGACTTTGCCGTCGGCTAGCCATGTGACTCTGTGCTCACGCCCCATCTCTGACACCGTGTCCTCTTATTTTAAATTGGGGTTCGGGCTGATAATAACTAAGACCTGTGTGTGTAGAGTTTATGGAACACTTCAATCCATGTTGGCTCAGTTTACCATGCATAGCTTCCTGGTGTTGCTCTGTGTCTCGGCTTCTTCCTCTGTAAAATGGGGACATCCTAGTCCCTGCCTAGTGGGTTTGTGGGGAGGAGTAACTGAGATGCGCGTGAAGTGCTCAGACCCACGCCTCCTTGGGCCTCCCGACCACCTGAGGGTAAGGATTTATGTCTCCCACCCAATAGATAATGAAGCATTTATTCCTAAACTGCTCACTAACTGGAAGAATAGGGTTGAGCCTGCAGGCTTCCCCATTTCAGCTGCTCGCTCCTCACCGACACCAAGACACGTGTCGAAGGCCATCTGCCCCGGCGTTCCGCGGCTCTCCAGCCTTCCAGGGAGGACTCGTGTGGAGCGGGGCTCTGCTGCTCGTCCTAACTGCCAAGGGAGGGTTTTTCTCCCGTTTTTCTGCGAGGCCTTCCTTGGAAGCTAAGCACCCAGGGAAACTGAAGAATTCACCCATCCAGAGAAGCCGGCAGTGGTATGCATTCTGCAGAGAGAGCCGGGGCGGTGGGGGGCGTCCCGAGCGCCCCCTCCCTCGTCCGGGAGGCTCCTGTCCACTCCGGGGCCCGACAGACCCCGCCTCCGCTGCTCACCTGGACACTCACCATCTCCAGCGTCCGCTCACCACCACCTGCTTCCTTTCAGGCCAGGAAGCACCAGAAGTGGGCAATTAAGTCATCGAAAACCATTTTCACCACGGATTTTTACTGAACAAAAGAGCAGTGTTTATGTCACTTAGACATTTCTGAGAAGATTTAGCTGTTCTTTTAAAAACATCACTTCAGCGCCAATGAAAAATATAATCCAGCCTTGGTAATAAATTTTTAAAACATACACACACAAAAGTTATCAGCCTGCAAAACTGCTTCCCAGGCCTTCCCACACGCCTCAGCCTTTTGACAATGTCCCATCTGCGACGTCAGTCTGAAAAAGCTGGTTTCGTTAAAATCTTTTCTGGCTGGCGACTCGGTTTCTTCCCGGCTGTCCGACGGACGTCCAGGCCCCGGGCCCGTGGGCCTGGGCCAATTTGCATGTTTCACAGAAAGGGGAACAGGTCATCAAAAAGCTGTTTAGCTGCTGCTTAGTAAGAAAGGTTTCCTCTCGCTCTTGCGCCTAATTGCCGAAGATGTCTGTGTTTGGATGAAAACTTTGTCCCCTGCCGTTCTGGATGCCATCAATGCATCCGGCCCGGTGGACGGCCGGTGGTGCCGTGGTCTCCATGCGGGTGGATGCCCGCGGCACGTGCTGGAGCGCCCGGTGCCCGTGCCCGTGGAGCTGCCAGGCTCGGCGAGGTCGCACTGTTGGCCTCACACCTCAGTATCTTCACTGAGTTTCAGACACTGCTTTGAAACGGTGTCAGCTTTAAGCCAACTACATTTACGTGTAAAATTACAGTGTAAATGTTTTTGGCCATTTGAGAAAGGACGTTTGGGCTGGCGGAGGCCTCGCTCCGTTTGTGGGAAAGACATTTCCTCTAAGCGGCCTTTTAAAATCTCCAGCTGATAGGAAATCTGTTCAGTCTCTGAATCCAGGAAAGGTGCCCTGTGCAGTAAGAGGAGCCTCAGGTGGAGCGTGGAGCTCTGCTCATCCACAGGGCGCCCCGGCCCCCGGGTCTGGGGGATGCGGTCCAGGGGCAGTCTGAAATAATTAAGAAAGAAACAGCTCCGGCCTGTCCGCTGTGTCCAAGACGGGAGTCCTAGGGGATGAATTGTAATCCTCCTTTCTAAGAGTTCACGAATCAGTGAAGAAACAACACATCTCGGCAGAACCGTGTCCTTATAAGGTAGACTGTATCAGCCCACACGAAAAACAGAGTATGTGAAACTAGGAAAACGAACCTGGTAGCCACTTGCCTTATTTGTCTTTCCCCAGATCAAGAATGCTGCCGCCAACGTCCTCCGGGAAACGTGGCTGATCTACAAACACACGAAGCTGCTGAAGAAGATCGACCACGCCAAAGTCAGGAAGCACCAGCGGAAGTTCCTCCAGGCCATCCACCAGTGAGTACGCAGGGTGCCTGCCGGCCTGAGCCTCTGTCGGTACCTTCCTGACCCGGAAACACGGAAGAAAGCCGTGCAGGGCACCCGACAAGCACCGGGGGCCGTGAGCCGGGCCCAGATTGGTTTGTTTCTCCATTTATGGCACCTGCAGCCAGTGAGCCCCAGACAGGTCGCTAAGGCGGGGAGAAGGGTAAGAGCCTGCGGGACACCCCAGTCCCCCTGACACACACAGCCCCCACATGGCACTTGGGAGCAGAGCTGACTGTGGTCAGCGCTCTCCAGAAGAGAGGCACTTGAAAGTAGGGTGGAGAAGTAGGGAGGAAGGAGATCTGGGGAGGAGGGCATTCAAGCGGCACCGAAGCAGGGAGAAGGCCTGACAGCAGCGCATGAGGAGGTGGAAGTCACAGCGTGGAAATGAGATTTGCTTTCCTGGGGACCTGGGCAGCCTGTGATCGAGGCCCTGTGATCGAGGCCCCATGATCGAGGTCTCCGTGATCGAGGTCTCCGTGATCGAGGTTCTGTGATCAAGGCCCCGTGATCGAGGCCGCCCTGATCGAGGCCCCGTGATCGAGGCCCCCCTGATCGAGGCCCCCCTGATCGAGGCCCCGTGATAGAGGTCCCGTGATCGAGGTCCCCATGCTGGGTTCCAGAGTCAGGCACATCGAGCAGATGTGGAATCCGCACTTGGGGCTAAGCTGTCGTGGGCACTTGGGGAGTCTGGCTCTCACGACTCTTTCCCACAGACTGAGGAGCGTCAAGATGGAGCAGAGGAAGCTGAGCGACCAAGCCAACACCCTGGTGGACCTTTCCAAGGTGAGTGGCGGAACCTGGAGCATTCTTAGGCCCTGGCACTTGGCCCTCCCCCGCGGCTGCAAGGACCCGGCCACGTCCCAGCTACGCGGTGTGGGGCCAGGAGAGCAATGACAGCCCCTCCTTGGGGAAAGGAGTCCAGGGTCGAGTTCCTGACGGGAGTTCTACTGATGGAAATCCCGGTCAGCGCGGCCGCGGGTCCGTCCGTGTCTGTGGCTCAGTAGCCTCCTCATCTTGAGGCTGTGTGGCGACGCCCCGAGAATGAGCTCGGGCTTGCACGGGGGGCAGCCTGCCGGGCCCACCCGGGGACACGGGGGCCACGCTGCCCGGCACACGGTAACGCCTCCTCTAATCCTTACAGACCAGTTTTTCTGACCCCAATTGGTGGTGGGGGGTGCGTTTCTTTACTTCTCAAGAGGCAGGTCCCCATGGTGAGCATGAAGGTGGCAAAAAAGAGAGCCCTCCCTGGGAGCCCCGGGACGGACACCATGCCGCCACTCTGCACTTCTAACTCAGACTGCCATAAATACCGTGAAGAAAGTCGCCTCTCCTCTCGCAAGCCGTAGCAACCAAGAATGGAAGGCCACCCTGCTGGCCGAGCTGGGTCGCTCCCCCCCGCCCCGCAACCCCTCCCCTCACGGCCCCTCCATAAAGATTGTACATCAGCCTGGGGCCCGGCTAGCAGAACATTCCAGCAGATGTCAATTATCATAATGGAACCCATTCCGTGGGTGAGCAGAGAAACTCCCTCAGGCAAATTAGCACCCTTTGAAAAGAGGTGCAATCAGAGAAATTGCCAGTTGTCAGACCACTTGCAGGGCGCCTTGTTCAATGAAGGGATCAAGCCCCAGCAAGGACCTCCCCAGCCGGGGAGGGGGGGCTGGGGGCAGAGACGCGCAGGTGCAGGGAGGCCCTCGGGCCTGTGTGCCTGGGCCAGGCCCTGCAGTGGAGCCAGGCCCCAGAGCCTGGACGTGGGGGGACGGATGGGGAGACTGGGCTGTGGGAAGGAAGCCCCCGGGGTCTCGGGTACAGAGTTAACATGCTTGGGTATCAGGAAGCACTAGAATTAGGTTCACAAATGGAGGCCTTTCTTAGAATGACAGAAGGAAGCCTCATTTCAGAGCCTCAGAGCACCTGGCCAGACTCGAGGAAGGGGCCACAGAGAACAGAGGACGGGCCACGGGCAGCCCTCAAGCCCCGGCGGGGCGGGAGGGACATGCCTCACCCTCTCCTCTCTCTCCTGGGCAAGACCTTGCTTCAGGTCTGTCCCCTGCTGTCCCCTCCCCACTGTGGCTTCTGTCTCCCGGGCAGACCCTGGCGCCCCTGTCCAGAGAGCGCTCTGGCCACAGGTGAGGACGCATTGGCCTTCTGGTGATCTTAGCTCCGAACTCTCAGAGATGAGGTGACTGGCCAGTCGGGTCACGAGTCTGCACTCAGACCAGCCAGCTGTGGCCAGGAAGAGGGTGGTGCCGGGCAGACCTGGCCGGGGACTCACCCAGCGCCATGCGGGAATACCCGGCCTAATGCCATGCCCCCAGACTTTCTCCTACAAGCAGCGGGCTCTCCTGCCTCCCTCTCAGCTGGCAGGACTCACTGTCGCTGATGTTCTCCCGGGAACATCAGGCCAACGGACTTTCCAGCCTGTCTTGGTTCAGTACCACCCACAGCGCCTCACAGAGATGCGGCCCCGTGAAGAGCAGGCCGGCTCAGTGAATCATGTGGGGACCGAAACCCCGTCAGTAATCTGCAGCGAGCCACCTGGAAGGAGAGGTGTGCAGGGAAGGGTGAAGGGGGCCTCTGCAGGGCTGCCATGGGGACAGGGGCGAGCCCAGGAGAGGGGGGCTCTGCTTCCACCCACTCTTTCCCTCCCGGAGACTCACCCAGGGCCCCGGCTGCATCTCAGTGTATTTGGGTCCATATGCCCCCTCCCCCCACCCTGCACCTTGTCCCCAACCACGGAGCAGGGGACACGGCTGTGTTCTGTCTGCCCTGCATCCTCCAGGCTCGCCACCTTCCCACCCCTGCTCTTTGGTCCTCGGTAGACCAAGAAAATGGCACACGGCCTCCAAATATCATTTGCTAGATGGAACAGCGATCTTACAGGGCGGCATTGCTGGAGGGCTTGGGTCTTTATTTGCTAGCTTCGGTTTCTTTCACTGGAACGTAAACGTAATTCCTAGCATCCGAGGCTCAAGGAACCAATGAGACAGTGTCTGTGGAAGAGCTTTGTAAACTATATGGAGGTTTTGCAAATGGTAGTCCTCATTATGAATGCAGATGAGGAAGCCAAGATCCAAAGGCACAAAGTGGCCGCCCTGAGGTCGGGCAGCTGGTTGGCGGCCGCTTGGGGGGCCGAGACCCAGGGGCCCGGGCCCCAGCCAAGCAAATGAGTGAGTGGTCCAGACGTCCGGCAACAGTTTGCCTCTCGATGGAGGTTCTGGATTGTTAACGAGTGAAGGCAGCCCTTTCACTTCCGAAGTCTGGTCTGCCCCCCCCCGCCCCCTGCGCTCCCAGGCTGAGCTGCCTTCCTCCTACTTCTGGATGGCCCCTTCCCCACCCCCTCTCCGGCCCTCTTACTTTGCCACCTTCCTTTACTCTGCTTTCCCCTCTCACCTCCATCCCTACTCCGGGGCCGCGGCTCCAGGGGTTTCTGCGTCTGCTGAAGTAACTTGGAGTTTCAGGCCAATAGGATCAGGATGTTACCGGCAGAGGACCAGAAGCCCCAAGGGCCACGTTACCTGGGAGGGGGCAGGGGGGTACAGAGCAACGGCCACCGTGGCAGCCACAGGGACTGGGAGCCATGGGCTGAGGGCTCACACGGCGGTCCCTTGTTGATTTACAGAGAAGCAGAGCTGTCACATAGGTGAGCGCTCTCTGGGCCAAGCCGGGAAGCCAAACTGTCATCAGAAAGCGGCCCGATGAGGGAGAAGTGGGACCCTGGGACGGGACTGGGAGTGCAGCTGCGGGAGGTGGGCGTGGAGCTCAGGTGGCTTGGTCGGCCGTTAAAGGAGCGGGATTTGAGGGGTGTGTGTGGACTCAGTGGGGCTCTGTGCTGGGGCGTGGGGGGCGCCCAGGTCAGGCAGCCGGAGGGAATGGCGCCCGGGCCTGAGGCCCCCCCTTCAGCTCTGCTCTGACCCAGTTTTATGACTTAACTCTCAGAAGGCAAGTTTATTGGCTTCCTTTTAAGTTTCATTTGTGTTTCAGCTCCCTGGGGGCTCCCCCGTTTGCCCCCTGCCCTCACGGCCTCCTCCAGGGGTTACTCCCAGGCAGCCCTGGGCTGGGCCCTCGGGCTCTTCCTTCCTTCCCTTCAGCCACACGGGTCTTGTTGGTAAACACTGAGGACCTTTCTAGGTACCTGGGAACAATTTGTGGTGTGAAACATCTCTCCCCATCAGTGGGTTTCCTACCTTGGGCCCAGGATGGGCGGGACCCATGCCCGCCTCACTCATCCGTTTGTTCCACCGACATCTTTCAGGGACAGGCCCCTGCCCCCCACCCCCCTAGGTGTGATTATGTATGTTTGTGTGTCTGTTAGTTGAGCATGTCCTACAGGCCGGTGCTGTTTTAGGCCCTTGAGACACATCAGTAAAACAGCAGGCGAAGGTCCAGGCCCTGAAGGAGGGTCCCTCCCGGTGGGTGACGGCAGCCCATCCCCAGGGGCAGCAGAATTTGCTAGCGCAAAAGAAGGTGGGAGGAGGGACGCCTGGGTGGCTCAGTCGTTGGGCGTCTGCCTTCGGCTCAGGTCATGATCCCGGGGTCCTGGGATCGAGTCCCACATAGGGCTCCCTGCTCCGCGGGAAGCCTGCTTCTCCCTCCCCCACTCCCCCTGCTTGTGTTCCCTCTCTCGCTATCTCTGTCAAATAAATAAATAAAATCTTAAAAAAAAAAAAAAAAAGAAGATGGGAGGAAAAGGGGACAGTTGAGCAGGTTAGCAGGATCGGGAGTGGGGGTGGGGTGCAGTATGAAGCAGGGCACGGGAGATGGGGCAGGTCGCTGGGACTCGGGGAGACAGCGGTGAGGCGGGAGGTTTGCTGGGGGGCCCATTCGGGAGTGAAGGAGGCAGGACAGGGCGGGGGGGCGGTCTGAACCGCGACAGATGGACAAAGGCCTCAGCCGGCCCATGGGAGCTCTGGGGGAGGACTAGCCCTGCAGGGATGTCCCAGATGGGGCAGCAGACCTCCCCCGGGGACCAGGCAGTGGGGAGGGGCTGTGACCGCACGCAGCAGCTGCGTGTGGATGCGGAGCCGGCCGGCGGCGAGTCCCTGCGTCTGGCGTCTCTTCTGGCTTCTGCGCTGGACACAGCTGACCAGCAATAGTGTGGTGACCACGTGTGGTTATCACTCCTCTTTTATAAGGCAGCCAGGGTTCAGACTCGGCAAGTCCCCGCGCCATCCACAGCCCAGCACGGTGCCTTCTTGCGCAGCCTCTGAGCCCGGAGGTCGGGTCAGCAGGGACATGAGGACCCGCCGGGCCTCGCCTGTCTGCTTCCCCGTGACACGGGATTCCTGGCAGGGGTTGCCGCCAGCCCCCCAGCCCCTGCGCCTCCAGGTCCTCTCCTGGGTGGGCCAGACCCGGTGCGCTGGTGTGGACCTCGCTCTCGTTGTGACTTGGGAGCACTTCACTTTCCCGTCGCAGGTCCCCCTGCGATGACCTGTAGGGTCCCGTCTCTCCGTACAGATGCAGAACATCATGTACGACCTGATCACAGAACTCAACGATCGGAGCGAAGACCTGGAGAAGCAGATCGGCAGCCTGGAGTCCAAGCTGGAGCACCTGGCTGCAGGCTTCAGTTCCCTGCCCCTCCTCATCGCCGACGCCCTGCACCAGCAGCAGCAGCTCCTGTCGGCCATCGCCGAGGCCCGGGCCGGCCCCGCGGGCGCCACCCACACGCCCCCAGCCTCCGACAGCCCCCTCGGGGTCAGCTCCACCTCCTTCCCGACCCCATACACAAGTTCAAGCAGTTGCTAGATAAGCCCCCCACTCCAGAAGCATTGCCCATAGGTCTTAAGATGCAAATCAACTCTCTCCTGGTCACTCTGCCATCAAGGACCCATCGGACCAGGGACCGTAAAGAGGAGAGACCGAGCTAATCACCCAACTCGTGTTCATTCAGCGTGCTTGGTTCAACATGCCTTGAAACTGGAAATCTAATCTCTGTTTAGGTGCCTCTACTTGGGAGCAGGAAGAGGAGGTGAGAGGATGCGGGCCCCTGGCATCAGGGCTGGTGCAGAACAGAAATCCACGCTCCATCTCAGGTCTCACGTGGGGGGCGGGGGGGCAGGTGCACGAGGCAGCCAAGAGAGAAGGAGCCCAGAAGAGGGTTCCAGGGGGGTGGCTTCAGGCTCGGGGGGGTCCCTCCCTATTGGGGCCTCAGGAAGCCTCCGGGCGACAAAAGGCAGGAAGGGCAGCCACAACTTGCCGAAACAGACGTTCTTTCCTCCCGTACCTTAACCAGTCATAAAACCCATTTAGACTAAAAAAAAAAAGACAAATAAAAAGCCAGATTTTCCTGTGTGTCTGCAAGTGTGTGCACGCACACACCCCCACATCCAACACAGGTCTGTCCTTGTTTGAGTTTGACCCGAAGAAAAAGGGACCTGGTACCTCACCCCGCACACAGTAGGCACTAAATACGTGTGGAGTCAGTTTGAATCCGAACGTGGGTGCCTTCGGCTCAGGTAGTTTGCTGGTTGGGCACATCCTGAGCTTCACTAAGACGCAGGCCCCTTCAGACAACAACGCAGGTGCCCACCCTGGACACGCACCGCCCTTGCTGGGTTTGAGATGGACGCCGAGCCACACTTGTTGGCGGTCTAGAGAGATAAGCAGCCTTCTAAAACCAACAGCCTGTGCAGAATTTTCTCCTTATATCCAAACCGCTGTGTCCCGGTGGAGCGGGTGACCCGCGTGGGTATGTAGTGGGAGGGGACGTGCGCACACAGGTGCAGCCCAGGGAGGCCCCCGTGAGGAGGAGCGTGGTCTGGGGATCTGCTCAGCCACCCTCATCCAGCAGCGGTGCTCCCACCCCAGGCGTTAGGAGCGCAGAGGGGTCCAGTGCCGCCCCCCGAGAGCTGCTGAGCTGGGACACGTGGTGGTGAGTGGCCCGTGTGGCCCCTTCTCCCCGACCTGAGACCACCTGAGAATGAAAGAATCTGAGGATGAGGGCCCTTAGGGAGGCTTGTGGGTAAGGTGAGGTGACGGATCTGTCAGCAGCCCGTTCCTACTGTGCCATGTTAATCTTGGTGCAAAAACCGTTCGAATTTGTCTCAAACTCCAAGAAACTTGAGAAACCTCCAGACCCAGCGCAGTGCCCGGCATCGGGGGTGAGGCACATGGACCCCATCTCTCATTGCTCTGTACGTGACCGTTCGCAACGTTCCTGTGTTTCATCGCTCTTCTCGTCGTAGGGTCTTTGGCTGCAGCTGGTGGGGAGTTAGACGAGACGGTGTGGAATGTTTCATCTGCTTCGGGCAGAGCGTCACGGTGTCATCTGCGCATGGTTGTTCTGCGGGGCTTCGCTGTGCACGGGACATGTCACTTCCCTGACATCAGAGCTGGGCCAGGTCTTCTAGGGGCAAGGGGATCACTAGGTGGCAAAGGGTAGATGACCCTAGAGCCCAGCTACTCGTTCCAGAAGACCTGGTCTCTTGCTAAACTTCCTCTTTTATCTCCTTTTCCGGCCATTGTTCCGCCCACAGTCTTGTCCCCGTCTTGGTGACTCCTGGGAGCATTTCCATTGGCTGTTTTGCAGACACCATACTTGCTGCTGGCTCTTTGTTTTTTCACTTGTTCCTTTAACTGTCGATTATCTGAAAGATCACCCTCCTTTTTTATGTCCCAAGAACGGGCTCCCGTTTCAGTGACGTATAGCGGAACCGGGAAACAGACGTGCGCGTAGATGAAGTTACCGTGCAGGGTCTTTGCGGCCAGAGCTCCATCTCACAAGGGGGAGGCTGCAGGCAGGTGGCCCTGCATGCGCCCGTCCTGGTCGCTGACCTGCAGCCCTCCCCGCTCCCTCCTGTTCGCCGTCTCCGTTCTGTGTGCGCACATACAGGGATTTAGTCTTAACCTCAAAAAAATGACGTGCAAGATGCCGCTGACCCGCCCAGGTCAGTGGGTGACTGTAGGCCCTCATTCATGCTGTGCACCTCAGTGAATCCTGAAGACCAGGCCAGCAGCCCTGGTGGGGGGGCGCTGGCATGCCGGGACACGTGGGCATCCGTGGCATGACGTGGCCTATTGGTAGTGTGACAGCTGGTGTGGTTGACAGTGGTGATCACGCCTGCTTCCTGGCCTCACGATGTGACCGGGAGGCTGCTTCTCTGTCCTAGTGTTTCAGCTTTGTGTGGGGGAAGTGATCCCTTCTCCAGGAGTGCAATCAACCCCGATGACCTCAGTATTGACTACCCAAAGTGTAGGCCCCTCCAGGCTTTCTCCCTACAGCCCATCTTCTGGTTAATTCCACTGTGCCTCAGCATCACGGTCAGATGGAAAACGGTGGCAGGTGCCTTCTTGCTCCTTATTCTCAAGTTTAGTGGCGGAGGAGGTTTCGTTAGCTACTCGAGAATTGGCTATATGTCAAAACCATTCGTTACAATAACCTCACTCTAATACTGAACTGATTGAGTTCTGCCCACTCCTGGAAGGCCGGCCCAGTGGCAGAGCCCCGCTATGACTTTTCTGATAACTTAGTGACGGGTAAGATACCCTAATGGTCCCGAAAATATCTAGACACTTGAATAAAAACTGCAGAGCCACCCCTCATCATGTAAGCCATACTCTAGCCTCATGTACTGTAAAGCCAGGGACGTACTGTGATACTTTAAGACCACTGGTCTCCGTGGAATTTCAGGACATAGCATCAGCTGGTAAATTTTACCAGACTAGGGGCTCCGTCCTCCTTAGACTGAAGTCCAAATACAAATCTGCACCTTTGGGTCAAAGGCCACCCATGTCTGATCATCATCAATAAATTGTCATAAAGTGTCTGAACTGTTCTTGCCCTGCTCCTAACATGCAGCTTCATGACATCATATCTCTAAAGATGCTTCACGCAGTGCAGGGGAGCAAGAGGGGTGAGGCCCTGGGTCGCCACTGACTTCTGGCAGGTGACGGACCGAGCAGCAAGCCCATAGGCCAGAGGCACGGAGAGCGCAGGCACCAGCAAACTCCAAGCGAGCGCCTGCAGCTCTTGTTATCTATTAAAGCCCGAGAAGGAACAGCACTGAAGAAATCGTGATTCTAATATGTTTGAGGACTCCCCCCACCTTAGATTTTCAGTGTGAGTGAAGGAAGGAAAAAGGAAGAAAGTTAGAGATACAGAATCAGAGGAAATAAGCACTCAGGCTGGGTCCACGTCTTTGGCCGATTAATGTAGCCTCCTCACACCTCGGTTTCTCTGTGCGTCCGCGAAGACGAGAGTTACTGTCCCGGAGCGCGACGTACTTGGCAGACCTGACGGGGCGTCAAGAGCAGCCAGACCGCGTTCCCGTCCCAGCCCCGCCCGCGGTGCCCCGAATGTCCTCAGGAGTTACCAGAAATCATCGGTCCGAGTCAGCTGGGGGGTGAGCACAGCGTGAGCAACGCAGGGCTGGTGCACAGGCCCTCTCGCCCGTAGGGTGTCCCTCCACCAACAGTGCACCCCAAATTAGGAGTCATGTTTCGTCCCAGAGAAGACGGTGTTACTCGCACAAGCGAGGGACTAGGAGGTCGCTGCGCTGTAAGTCGCTGCTTTCAAGTCCTCAGATACGTCCCCAGTCTACACAGTCGGGCTACTTCCCCGGAAAGCGGAGTAAGGATCCGCTAGTGTCCGCCACACCGGCCCCGTGGATGCGGCGGCGGCGCTGGGCTTCAGCACCTTAGACAGCGGTCTGCGGGCCTCCGGGTCGGCGTGGGGCAGCCCCCCACCACGGCCGGCCAGTGTGGCCACGCCCCGGGCGTTACCCCTTCTTCTCTGCGGCTGCCGAAGTAAGCGTGGAGTGGGAATGGGGCCACCAATGCCACCAGGGAATGCGGGTGGAACGTGGGTGAGTGCCCGTCATCCTGAAAGCTCGTGCCAGGCTGCGCGGGTAGAAGTTACCGTGAAACTCCCGGCCGACAAGTCACGCGTAGATTTTGTACCGAGATAGGTGGACGCGGTTCACGGAGCAGGGGGTGAAAAGGTACCCAGGTGGAGAACGCCCGTGGCTGTGGCCTGTTGTTCTTAGGCCAGCACCGCAGACACCCCAGCGCGAACTGGAGTTCCTTCTGAACAAAACCGTTATCAAAGCTTCAACGTGCGGCCTCCAAATCTAGGTGCCAAGTGCTGTGCGAAAGCTGTTCACACGCCTGAGAAGCGCATTCTGGAAGCCGTATCTTGGGCCTGGAGCCCGTGTCGAAACAAAAGAAGTGTTGTGACCAACCAAGCTGGTGGAGGAAAAGCACAAAATTCAACACGAACCTGTAGTTAGGATCCCAAAGAAATGTTGAATTTATAGCCAAAAGAAAGGAAGAAAGAAAGAAATCAGTGACAAATCTGACTGGAAGAGCCAACATCCAGGTCCTCAGAGGAAGGACAGGGAGTAAATGACATTCTCTAGCTGTGTCACATGGTCTCAACCAGGACCAATCCACCCTCATCAGACATTTTAATGGCGTGATAACTCTTTGGTCCCGGACTCCGCGTTCTGCGCCGAGCAGGAGCGAACAACAGGAGAGAGCACATTTCCATGGTGAACTCGGAAACAAGTGTTTGTGTTCAGAATCATGTGAGCTTCGATCTGAATTTGCATCTTGCCTCTGTACTGATTGCTATTTTTTAATGATAGGAGAAAGCATAACAGTTTATTTTAAATATGAAATATATTGCTATATTATAACATATATTGTAACTTTCAATTAACATTTTGTATCCCACTAGTCTTCAGCAGGCCCAGTGTCCCTGCTCTCCCAACCACTGTTTCTGAGTACATATCACTGTGAGCGGCTGCCGGATGCCCAGACCCGGGGGCTCAGCCTCTGGAACTGCCATATTCCAATTCCCTCTGACATGCCCATTAGAGACAAAAGAACCTTATTCCAAACTGAGAAGAATAGTTGTACCCGAAATTCCACCAAGCCATCTCAGAGGAGATTTTAAAAGCCATGACTCCCACAGTGGCTGCGCCGAGCCGGTTTAATCGATGTGCAGGTTCTTCCCGTGTAAATGCCAAGGTCCCGTTACGCAAGTGACAGGAGCCTCAAACTGAGCCACCCAGGTTTTCCTTTGGGAGTGTCAGAATTGAGCATAAGAATTGTGATACAAAAGACTCAAAATTCTAAGCACTGTGCGCTTATCTCTGCCAGAGTCAAACCAGAATTGGAGCTTCATTTACTCAGGCCCAGTGAGACCCCAATGTGCAGACGAGCTCCTCTCAGCTGGCCGGACCCTAGAGGAAGCAGGCTCCCCCCCCCCCGCCCCCATTTATCTACGACTGGGGAGCATAGCTCCTGGGGGAGTGAGGGAGGAAGCAGGACACCCACAGCAAGACCCAGCAAAGTGCTGGGCTTCCCTGTCTGCTACTTTAGCCATTAGCTGCCAGGAAAGGAGCTCCAACCAAGGTGTTGCCTTCATTGGCAGAATTGGGGGAAATGCTCTACTTGAGCAACTCATGAACTCCATTCCCTCCTCGTATGAATTGCAGTTGAGACACGTGCAGAATTTCTCACTTTCCTCCTCTGAATGACTATCTCTAGATGAAAACAGGAAGTGTTTAGTTACAGAACAAAGGTTTTCTAGAATCAGTGGGCCCCCTGGTGTGTTGGCATCACTCTGGGCTGATATTGCATGAGGGGAAACCGAGGAGCATCAGGGCACCTGAGCTTCTGTCTTTTTCCTTCTCAAACTGAAAACTCAGACAGCTAGACCGAGAGAGCGAGACAACAGGCTTTCTCCTGGGGAAGCCTGGGATCTTGTCAAACTCTGGCACTGGTTACTCCGAACGAGAAACGTGCGAACACCCAGCTCCAGTCTGCATGTGTAGCTGAGAGCTCGCTTGCACACACAGTTTATTTTTATTGAACAAAGTGCTCTCAGCGTCTGCTGCTCCCCAATTACATGTGAGGCTGGTTCCATTAAAGCCATCAGAACTCCAGGGCACCTGTTTTTAGCAGGTTACTCACTCGCTGGGTAATGGAAATTAGTTTATTCTCAATTTTATAATTAACTGATGAATGTATTGGTGGTAATTGATTTGTCTCCTAATACTTTTCTGCTACTAAATAGAAGTGTCTTTTTTGGGCTTTTCTTCTAGCACTTCTCAGACTAAGACTTTTTCATTTATAGAGAGCAAATATATTCTGATTGCCCCCCTCGAAGTTATTATTCAGTCTAGATCAAGAAAACCAATGCAAATTCCTGATTGGGGGAAAGCAGACATCTCGACGGTATTTCAGATACATGGCCACACACGAACCCTTGCTATTCAAAGTGTGGTCTACAGACCAGCAGAGTCAGCATCACCTGGGAACTTAGAAATGCAGACCCTTGGGCCCCATGCCAGACCTGCTTAATCCAATATGGCATTTTAACAAGATCCCCAAGTGATCTCTACTCACACTAAATGCTGAAAAGCTCTGGCCTCACCACACCACACTGGTAACCAACACTGTTAGTAGCTGGAAAATTAAACCATTTGTTCTTTGACCCTCATTTACAGAATCACTTGATGAAGTCCTGTATGATCATAAGGATAAAAACAAACATCTTACAATTCATTCGAGGTCATATAACGTGGCTGGTGTACAAAAGGGGCCAGCTAATTTCTGGTCTGTTTTTTGAAAAGCTTTGTAGCCTTGAACCACTTCGAAGTCCCTTTTTTGGTTTCCGGTTTCAGCCTATGCTGACAGGCCATGGGGCTATCAGGAGGCCCCCAGGGCGGGTGCCCCGAAGGGTACCCAGTCCCTGCTCGGCACCGTAGAGGAGTAGCTGCATCTAGGCTCCTTCCTTGAGAAATTCAGCAGCCCCCCCAATGAGGACTCTCCTCCCCAGAGGAAACCTCGCAAGAGAAGTTCGTTTGACCATCTAGAGACATTCCTAATCTCTTTTCAAACCAGTTCTCTTAATCATGACCCCAACCAGAGACACTCCAAGGTGAGCAAGGAAAAATGTGGACTGTGATATTCGCACCACAAATCGATATGTACCCAGAAACACTTATGTTCTAAATTAATGGCTTTAACCTGTTCATTGTAAAAAGTGCCTTGGACTTCGATCTAAAGAGGTCAGTATAAATGTGTGTGTGTGTGTGTGTGTGTGTGTGTGTGTGACATATGCAGGCAAATATTCACATATTTGTACACATAGGTGCACACATGTACCTGCACACTCATATACAATATACATACACATATACAAACGCTCCGTAACGTCTCCTATTGCTATTTGCAGGTTCATTTATTTTGTCTGGTCCTATGTTATTTGTTTAGCAACACCTTTCCATAGAGAGGTTCTATTCAGAACATTGATGTATTTTTTGTTTGTTTTTTTACTTTTTATTAAAAAGGTAAAGGATATTAAAAAAAAAAAAAAAGTCAAGTGCCTGAAGGTTTTGAATGGAATTGTGGTAAATTTTCTCAGGTCACCAAAGAGGAAACTGATCTTTCCTTTGGAAAATACTTTTCTGTTGCAGTGACTTTTGTTTTCCCTCGGTGGGAGTTGATAAATACCCACGGTTACAGTGATTGGGCAATTTTGTTGTGATTCTCTTTGTGGTCTCCATAAAGCAAGCCACACTTGCTCAGGCCAGTGCCCACTCTTCGTCCCGCATCCGTGTCGGGAGGGCGTGGGCTTTACGTGCTGTGCACAGCGGGGGCATTAGGCCCACTGAATTGCAGGGGCAGGGTTCTGATCAGTTCTAAATAATGTGTGCTTTCGATGCCCGCGCAGAAGGACACGTGGGAAGTTCCGTCCTCAGTCAGATGGGAACCTGTCCTAGAGGCGGGCAGAGGGGCCCTAGGGAACGTTCTAG